GCCATAAAAAAAGATGAGTTCATGTCCTTTGTGGGGACATGGATGAAGCTGGAAACCATCATTCTCAGCAAACTATCACAAGAACAGAAAACCAAACACTGCATGTTCTCACTCATAGGTGGGAATTGAACAATGAGAACACTTGGACACAGGAAGGAGAACATCACACACCGGGGCCTGTTGTGGGGTGGGGGATGGGGGAAGGATAGCATTAGGAGATATACCTAATGTAAATGACAAGTTAATGGGTGCAGCACACCAACATTGCACATGTATACATATGTAACAAACCTGCACATTGTGCACATGTACCCTAGAACTTAAAAGTATAATAAAAAAATAAAAATAAATATTAATCACTAATATTAAGATAATACAATATTATTCTTGTCCACACCAAGAATATACCTTTTATATTATTATTACGTCACTAGTATACCTTTGCCTACTACCTACCTAAATCCTTCTGTTATTTTAGTTATTTTAGAGAGACAGGGTCTCACTCTGTCGTCCATGCTGGGGTGCAGTGGCCTGATCATAGCTCACTGCAGCCTTGAATTCTCTGACTCAAGCAATCCTTCAGCCTCACCCTCCTGAGTAGCGGGGGCTACAGGCCAGTGCCACCACACCAGCTCGTTTTATTTTTATTTCACAGAGACACAGTCTCGCTATGCTGCCCAGGCTGGTCTCAAATTCTTTGGGCTCACGTGATCCTCCCACCTCGGTCTCCTAAAGTGCTGGGATTACAGGCGTGAGTCACCGCCCGCAGCCTCACCTGCCTAAATCTCTTAATGCACAAGGGAAAGGAGCGAGAATTCAGGGGAATACAAAAAAACAAACATACAAAATAGCCCCCAGCACTTCTGAGAAAGATCTGCGGTACAGAAAAGCCGTCCTGAGCGGGTCTGTGTGGAGGGAGGGGACTGCATCTCAGATCCACAGTCCACCCGGGGCTGCAGCACGCTAGTTCTACAGTGTTGGGCCAGGTTGGACCTCCGGCTGGAGGCCTTCCACACAGGAAAACACTGGTAGGGCTCCTCTCCAGTGTGGGTTTGAGGGTGGCGGAAGAGCTTGGCACTGTCGCCGAAGCCTGGCTCCGGCCTGGCAGAGCGGTCAGGCCGCTCTGTGCTGCGAGGCCTCCCGGGCTGGTTCAGGGTAGCCTGGGGCCTGAACCGCCTCCCGCGAGTCCCGTCCCGCACTCGCACAGCTTCTGGGCCCCTTCGCCCCCTCCTGCTGAGCTGCCGGCTGGGCGGTTGGCGGAACCTGGGCAACTTCCAGGCCTCCCGGAGGCACTGCAGGCACTGCGGGCAGGGAACGGCCGCTACCGGGGTGCACGCGCTGGGGCTTGGCCAGGTGCACGTGCTGGGCAGCCGCGGCCGCCCTCCGCACACAGATGTGGCTTTTCGGCGGAGTGGGTCTCCCTGCGCTGGACCGAGGAGGAACTCTGGGTGCAACAGAGGCAAGGCTGCTCCCCGACGTGGGTGTGCCGGTGCGGGAGAAGCTTCCCGCACCCGGAGCAGGAAAAAACTGGCGGACACGGCTGCCCCCAGTTCCCCACCGACGGCGGATTCGCATCTGGGCTTTGCAGGGGATCTGGAAGGGGTGAGTGGAGGAGGGCTGAGGGCGGGCTGCTCCATGCCGGGGAACGCGGGCGATGAGCGAAGGAGACCAGATGGGGCGCGAGGAGGAATCTGGGGAAGGCTGGGTGGAACCAGAGGCTGGAGACTGAGTAGGGGGACAGGATAAAGGAAGGGAAGTCGAGGCAGGAGTGTGGATGGGGGCAGATGTTGAAGGAAGGACCCGGGGCTCCCACAAGGCCGGAGTCCGGAGGTGCTGCCCGGGGCGACTGAGCTGGGTGCGAGGCTGACGCTCTCCACGATTCCGCGCCTGCAGGGCTTCTCCCCTGGGTGCGGGAGGACACGCTGGGAGAGGGAGGTCTTCTCACTGACGCTGTCACCGCAACTGCAGCAGCAGAAGAGACGCTCTCCTGTGTGAATTCACTGGTGGCGGATCAGCTTCCCCCGGTCCCCAAAAACTTGCTGGCCCTGGGGACAGACGCAGGGCTTTGGCCGAGCCAGCAGCAGAGCTGGCCGCTAAGCCCTTGCCGCACTCCCCGCAGACGAATGGCTTCTCCTGAGTGGACTCGCTGGTGCTTGATGAAGTTGGAGCGGACACAGCAGGTCTTGCCGCACTGGGGACAGCGACAAGGCCTCTCGCCAGTCGCTGTGGACCCACCGGTGCTGGAGGAGGGATGCACTCTGAGTAAAACCCCTCCCGTAGGCCCCGCACTTGCAGGGCTGACCGCCCAGGTGAATCTGACGGTGCTGCAGCAGGTCGGAGCTCTGGCTGAGACGCTTTCCACGGTCAGGGCAGGGGGAAGGCTTCTCGCGAGCACCGCTTCGGAGATGACCGCTCAGGGAGTAACTGCGTGGGAGGCTCTTGCCGCACTCGGCGCAGCTGTGGGGCCTCTGCCGGACTCAGGCTTCCGGTGGCCAGTAGCTCACAGTCTGGGAGCAGCACCCAGCCCCAGGCCTCAAGGGCTGTCTGGAGAGTTCTCTAATGTAAGACTCTGGGCAATGTCATCTGAAGGTGTTTCCTGAGGCTCTCAGGCATGTCCTTGGGTGTTACCCATCACTAAGTCCGTCCTCTTGGATAAGCTGGTCCTCACTGTTGTGCACAGTTCCTGCGGAAGGAAAGATTTCAGATCCTGAAACCATCATTCTCTCCAGACGGAGAGAAAACCACAGAAGAATTTTACTACAAACTGCAAAGGAGACTGCTTTCCGAATCCTATAATCAATGCTTCTTTATTATTATTTTCCTTTTTCCTTTTTTTTTTTTTTTCTTTAAAGACAGGGTCTGTCTTTGTTGCCCAGTATGGAATGCAGTGGTATGATCTCTGTTCACTGCAACCTCTGCCTCCCCAGCTCAAGTGATCCTCCCACCTCAGCCTCCCAAGTAGCTGGGACTATAGGTGCACACCACTAGGCCCAGCTTTTTTTTTTTTTTTTTTTTTTTTTTGGTAGAAGCCGGCTTTTATAATGTTGCCCAAGCTGTTCTCCAACTCCTGGGCTCAAGCGATTGGCCCGCCTAGGCCACCCAAAATGCTGGGATTACAAGCGTGAGCTACCATGCCCGGCCTCCTATAATCAATGCTTCTTTATTATTATTTTCCTTTTTCCTTTTTTTTTTTTTTTCTTTAAAGACAGGGTCTGTCTTTGTTGCCCAGTATGGAATGCAGTGGTATGATCTCTGTTCACTGCAACCTCTGCCTCCCCAGCTCAAGTGATCCTCCCGAATAGCTGGGATTACAGGAAACTAACATAAAGCCAGGCTAATTTTTCTTTTTTTTTTTTTTTTTGTATTTTAGTAGAGACGGGATTTCACCATGTTGGTCAGGTTGGTCTCAAACTCCTGACCTCGTGATCTGCCCACCTTGGCCTCCCAAATTGCTGGGATTACAGGCGTGAGACACTGCACATGGCCAATCAATCCTTCTTAATAGTAAGATTTATTTTAAAATTTGGATTGTGGTTATAAGACTTTTAGTAGTCTTGGATATTACCATCTTTATCCTGAATGAAAGTGTAGCAAGAGGCTGGGCACAGTGGCTCACGCCTATAATCCCAGCACTTTGGGAGGCTGAGGCCAGAGGATCCCTTGAGCCCAGGAGACCAGCCTGGGCAACAAAGCAAGACCCTGTCTGTATTAAATTACAAAAGTGTGGTAAGGATCATTTCCTCATTAACCTTGAACATCCAAGCACAAACCATCAAAAAGAATCAACTTCAGAAAGCCATTATTGCTTTATTGGTTACGGTGATTAAAAGAAGGGGGCCCCTCGGGTCACAAAGATAATTAACTGATTTGTCACAAACCATATTGAAACTCTTTTTAAAAAAGGGTATAGATAACTTTGTAATTTACAATTTTAACAGTCAAATTAGCCAAGAGTAGAGTTTGCAATAGGACTAGAAAATATTCCAGTGGCTCATATATAAGTAGGTTAATTTTATCTTATTTTTAGGCCTACTAGGCCTATCAGTCTGGATTTTCCATTACTTGGAAATGGGGGCTGAGGAACAGATGCTTCTGGCCACTCTGAGCCCTGGCTTGATCCTTGGGACTCATCTCTCTCTCTCTCCCTGTTTGTGCGTCACCTCACAGCGGATACCTGGCTCTTATCTCAGGACCTGACCTCCCACTGAGCTCCAAGCCTGCAAAGCATGCTGCCACCCAGGTATTTCCCCCTTAACATCCTGCCATCACTTCAGATGTAATACCCCTATGCCAAAAAATCACTGACTCCTAATTTCACTTTTGTCGGTGGCACCAGTTTCATTCTCTTGGACACCTAAGCTTAAAAACGGTGGAACTTCTTTTGAATCATCCCTCTCCTTCCTTCCCTAGAAGTGAGCTACCGTCAGTCACCCGGGAAACGCAAATTAAAACCACAGTGAGTGCCCTTATGCACCTACTAAAATCAAGCAGACCGATGATGCTAATTGTTGCTGAGGATATGGAGTCTCACACGTTTGCTGGGGAAATGTAAAATGGCCTGGGCACTTTGGAAACCAGTTTTGGTTAACAGTAAATTAAATGTACACTTACCACATGACTCAATAATTCTACTCTTAGGATTTACCCAAGGAAAATAAAAACGTATGTCCACACAAAGACTTTTTCACAAATGTGCATATCAGCTTTATTCATAATAGGCATAAGCTAGAAACATCCAAATGTCCATCAATGGGTGGAAGAATAAACAAAGTGTGGTTTACCCATGTAACAGAATACTAGCAACAAAGAGGAGCTGCTGTTACCTGCAAGCAATGGATGAATCTCAAAATTATGTTAAACCAGAGAAGCCAGACACAAGAGAATGCATAATGCATATATGATTCAATTTCTGTGAAATTCTATTTCTACAAAAAGCAAAACTTATTAATAGGGGCAGAAAGTAGACCAGTGGTTCTCTGCGGCTGGGTCAGGGAGAGAGCAGCTGACTGCACAGAGCATGAGAGGGTGATGGCAAAGTTCATTCACATCCTGAATGTGGTGATGGTTATGCCCATGTATATATTCACCAAAACCCAGCAACCTGGACACTTAAAATGGGTGTGTTTTATATATAACTTATACTTCAGTAAGGTGTCGACACAGATAGGCTAAGCTTTTTCAGAGATGTAACACAGGTAGACAGGAGTATCAGTGCTGACTGGCCAACTATCTTTACAAGATTTTATTAAGCTATAAATAAAATGGAATTGAAATAGCCAGGATTTACCGTGTACTTACTATGTGACAGGTGCCATTCTAAGAGTTTCCACATACTGGTTAGACCTCACTACAACTCTCCAGGACACTAACGATTACCCCATTTTACAGATAAAGAAACTGAGGCATAGAAAAGTTAAATAATTTTAAAACGCCATACATCTGGTAAAAACATTTTTGGCTCCAGGGAGCTTCCTCTTTACTACTACGCCACAATACTTCTCATTAGGACAATTTTGAAATAGACACACCCCTTCCTCCATGATTTCATCTCTACAAAAAATATTTTCACATTTGCATATTTTATTCAGGCTTTGCCAACATGCATACGCATTTTAACTACTCCATAATCATAGTTTAGAGACAGAGCAAGAGGAAGCCATTCCAAGCAACAGACGAGTCTAATTTTGCTCTCTGAAAGATAATACATTTTTTTAACTTATGAACATTTCTCATTCATTCATATTCTTTCATAATGATCTATTTTAATGGCTTTTTTTGTTTGAAATACCATGTATATTGTATTAATTTCCTTTATTATTGGAATAGATCATTAGTAGAGATAATGCTGTAATGAGCATCTTCATGGAATGCACAGAGCTTAGTTTTTTTCCCCTGTGGAATCTTTTTTATTTTTATTTTTTGAGACGGAGTCTCGGTCTGTTGCCCAGGCTGGAGTGCAGTGGCGCAATCTCGGCTCACTGCAAGCTCCGCCTCCCGGGTTCAAGCCATTCTCCTGCCTCAGCACACCGTACAGTATTATTATTGATTATTATTATTAGAGACAGACTCTCCCTCTGTTACCCAGGCTGGAGTGCAGTGGCACCATCATGGCTCACTGCGGCCTCGACCTCCTGGGCTCAAGCGATCCTCTGTCAATCTCCTGAGTAGCTGGGACTACAGGCGCCCGCCACCACACCCGGCTAATTTTTTGTATTTTTAGTAGAGATGGGGTTTCACTGTGTTAGCCAGGATGGTCTTGATCTCCTGACCTCTTGATCCGCCCTCCTCGGCCTCCCAAAGTGGTGGGATTACAGGCGTGAGCCACCGCGCCCGGCCTTCCTGTGGAATCTTTTATGTAGGAATCATTCCCAGGAGCGCAGCTGCTGCCCCGTATAAGAAAGGGCCTCTGGCCTCAATAAAGCAGCAGCTTTTATACTACTATGAATGAGCTACTGTTCAATTTGCTAGTGCCTAAGACTGGTCCAGACTCCAGCCATTCATGGTCTTGAGGGCCCTAGGAAGACCAAAGCAATTCCCGCAACTCTCCTCTGGGAGTCAACGGGGACATGTTACCGAAATCAGTCCTTGTGCCAATTGAAAGTACCACAGGCTGCCAGAAATTTCCATCTAGTTTTCCACTATCACCCAACATTCTTCCTGTGACTATAACTCCTCTCCTACATTCCCTGTCACCAGCCTTGCCCAGGCTTTCCTGATCTCATCCCTAGATGAGTGTGTGTTTTCCAGTTGGCCTTTTGTGATTTGATTCCCCTCTCTTCCAATGAATGATCTGACACAAGGGCTGTCCAGCATGTTTGTTACTGTAGGGCAGTGCTTCCTGTTTTCACAGCATGGAACCCATAGAAAATGTTACAATTTGAGCAACTCATAGGGATAAAGGGTTGAGACTGCTCCCTACTGGAGGTGCCCGGCCTAGCGCTTCCGGCCACCCTAGGCCCTACCTATCCGCCTCAGGGGTTAAAGCAGTGGTTCTCAGCACTAGCTGTGCATTAGGATTACCTGGGAGCTTTCAAAATTATTTTGCCTGTGCTGTACCTAGGAATAACAACATACAGCAAAGGTTAAGAACCTTTTTAGCTAAATGGTTATCTGTTTATCCTCAGTTACCTCCACAGCTTATCCTTCTACTACAGTGCCTCCTGAGGAATGGGCACACCGTACAGTATTATTATTGATTATTATTATTAGAGACAGACTCTCCCTCTGTTACCCAGGCTGGAGTGCAGTGGCACCATCATGGCTCACTGCGGCCTCGACCTCCTGGGCTCAAGCGATCCTCTGTCAATCTCCTGAGTAGCTGGGATCACAGGTGTGCACCACCACACCTGGCTAATTTTTTTTTTTTTTTTTAATAATTAGTGGAAACAGGATCTCGTTATGTTGCCTACGCTACTCTCAAACTCTTGGGCTCAATCGATCCTCCTGCCTTGGCTTCCCAAAGTGCTGGGATTACAGACGTGAGCCACAACGCCCAGCAGAATACAGAAGTAAAAAACTAAGGTCAAGGCCATGTACTGAGGTGTTCAAGGCTCTGAACTGCTGGACTCAATGTCACAAGATAAATTTTAACCTCACCAAACCCTCTCAGCTTAAGAGTATTTGCTAAGTTCTGAGAAAGAAAACGGGGCGTGTGAAAAGATGGGTGTTCATGTCTATGTGTACGTGTTGCGGGGGCGGGGGGGCGGTGATGTGGTTA